CTTCCAATGCATCATCCCCTCAAAGATCACAATCAGCTGTTGGACAAAGCCTGGCTTTCACAATGCCATGGTTACTGGTGCCGATTGTAATCTGTGATTTCCTTCTTTTCCCTTATTTCCTGTTCCTTTCCCTTCCCACCCGCTGGTGCTCGCCCCCTCTCTCCAGTGTCTCCAACAACTCAGGGATTATTCCCAATCAGCAGCACCGAGGCGTGCTGATTGCATCAGTTCCTCACAGACTGCTTTTATGATTCCCACGGGGAAATTATTTGAGCCAGACAAATGAAAAATATTTACCTGTGGTTGGTGCTGAGGGCCAAGGTCTGCATCCAGCTCATCCCATCCTGCAGACACTTCCAGCCTTCCTGGGCATTCCTGCCTGGCTCAGGGTGCTGAGCACCGGTGCTGAGCCCTCCTGCCTGGATCAGGGCACTCTGAAATGCACAGGGGTGTGAGGGAGAAAGCCAGAGCATTTTCCTGAAGACAATTAATGGATTACAGCGAGAGTAGAGTAATGCAGAGGCAAAGAAATCCCTCTCTCCAGAGGCAGTGGGATAGCACTAAAATCGTGCTGCACTCTGCCTCACTTCATAAAAACTTCTTGTTATTCCTCAAGGAGGAATTGCAAGAGAGGACAACAGTTCTGTGCACTCCTGGATTTACAAATGCTGTTTTATGTATCAGTGTAATCTCTCTTGCAATTTATATGGATGCAATGAGTAAACAGCAGCAGTCCTGGCAGGAATACTGACTCTGGAATGGATGCAGAGAATGGAGGACAAGGCAGGGAAGCCTCCCCAGAGCAGGTATTTTCCAGCTGAAAGGCAGATTTGTAAAAGGCAGATTTCGTGGGGATGGTCAGGATGGGGGGACCTTGGCTGCTCTTTGACTGATGCAAATCCTGCTGGAGCAAAGAACTGAAAATCACAACAGAAGAGTCTTGAAAACTTTTGGGACGTCACAGAGCAGCAGTGAGGCATGGATACAGCAACCAGAGCAACACCATGGCCTTGGCAGCCACGGACTGGGGTGGCTGGAAGTGCCTGGAGCTGGTGGGAGCCTCTCCGGGCATTGCCACGAGGAGCTTTAGTTAATTAAGCTCTGAATGATGAATTATGCATAGAGCACAAAACAATGTCCTGATTTCTGGCTGGGGAATTAAGGAGCCTTGGGCTCAGGTAGGTGCTCCCAGGCTTCAGTCCTGCTGCACAAGGACAGCTTTTGCTCCGTGGGGAGGTGGCTCACTGGGATGTGCCACAGGCACCGTGGGGCTGTGCTGGGGAGCACTCGGGGACACTGAGGGGTGCAGAGGTGATGCTGGGGACACAGCACCCCGGGCAGGCTGTCCCTTCCCTCCAGTTCCACAGGGATGCTGCTGCCTGCCTTTCCCCACAGCGGGTTTGTTTCCCTCAGCCCCCTCCAACACGCAGTGGGCAACAGGGAGCCTATTTTTGAGCTGTGCAAAGTCTTCTTCTGTCGACAAGGAACAAGGACTTCCCTCCTGAGCGGGCCCCCAGCTGTGCCCGCCGGCACTGGCTCAAAGGGGCTGGATCCCAGCCTGGTCTCCAGCTCAAACCCCCCATTCAGCACCGTGTTTGGAAGGCAAAGCAGGGAATCAGCCCCGTTCCCAAAGCCAAAGGCTGGAGTGGCTCTGCCATCTCGGAGGGACAAAGGCCTTTTCTGCCCTGGGACAATATTGCCACTCACCAGCAGTGCCCCCAGCCAGCGGAGCCCGGGCACGGCTCCTCAGAGCCGCCTTTCAGCTGCACTACAGGGCACCTCTGCTCCCAAGTCTAAAGCTGAGGTTATTTTTCCGCTTCCTTCTGCCATTGAAGCCCCCCCGGGCACTGTGGAGGAGGGGTGAAAGCTTCCCAAGGAAGCTGCAGGGAGGAGGCTGCAGAGCCTGGCACCCCGTGCCTGCCCTCTGTGCCCACACGGGAGCCCCACGGAGCAGCTGCATCCTCAGCAGGATCCCCAGCGTGTTTTGGGACGGCTCACATGGATCTGGAGCCGGGATTCAGGGGTGATGGGGTCTGTCCTGGGGGGGTCTGTCCCCCCAGACCGGTGTGGGGGGACAGGAGCTGCCTGGGAGGTGCTGGGAGGCTCTGGGAGCTGCAGGGTCTGTCCCACCCCGCTGCAGGGCAGCTGCTGCAGCATCCCATGATGTGGATGTGTCCCAGGGTTCCAGAGGCAGTGCCCAGGCTGGATGGAGCCCCTGGCAGCGCTGTCCCAGCGAGCGGGCAGCGATCAATAGGCACAACTGCAGAGCAAACGCGGCGGCAGCGGCGGCTGCGGCACCGGCGCGAAAATAAACGAGAGATTGATTTTCCAGGCAGTTCAGATCTCATGGATCCCAACTGCTGTGGCAAGCAGAGCACAGGCATGGCCAGAGCTGTGGGGCTCTCACCTCCCTGCACTCCCCAGTGCTGAGGAGCGTGGGGGGTCAGGCACACAAAATAAAAGCAACTCTTTGCCAAAAGGTAAAGCGACTCTGAGCGGCTCCAGAGCCTCTCTGCAGTGCAGGGGACAGACCCCAGGCAGGATTTTGGGAAGGATGGGGCAGTGGGTGTCCTGTGCTCCCTGTGGGACCCCCCTCCCCATCATCAGCCCCTTCCCAAACCGCAGTGAGCAGCACCAGAAAGGCACCGTCTGCCTCTAACATCTTATCTCCAAGCTGCTCCTGCTAAGTCACATCTGACTTAATTATGGTAATTAAGATTGACATTAATACAAGATTAAAATGTGAAATTAAAATTAGCTGTGAAACTTATCTGAGTTTTTAGAGCAGTTATTGATTTTCCCCACTGTTAATCAAAGGTCTGAGGTAATGGCCGATGAACACGGTGCTAATTAGAGCAATGCCCATAAAGTGGCCTCAGGAGATGTTTGTCTTATTTCTCAGAATCCCTCAGGTTCCTGACCACACAAACACCTCTGGCCCTGAGCGCTGCTGAAGGAGCTCAGGAGGCCACGTTCTGCTGCTGTTGGTGCTGTTTGTGGCGTGGAGCTGTGCACACCCAGCCATGCAGGGCTTGCAGGGAAAAGGCAGAAGGGCCCTGGTGTTTCGGGGAGCAGCAGGAGCACGGAGATCCCGGGAGCACCGGGGCTGCTGCTCTCCCTCCACACACATCCTGCTGTTTCTCAGGGTGAGATTTCACAGCCCATTAGGCCTCAGCGCTGGCTGCAGGAGGGAAATGATTCAAATCACAGCAGCTCTGGGGAGTGCATCCTGTGGTTCATCCCAGCCCATCTCCCTACACACGTTCCTGCCTCCCAGCTCGCCTGAGTCCCCAGCAAAGCTGTTGGAGGCCCAGGAGGAGCCCAGCACTGCTGTGAGACCCCCAGGCAGCACAATTCCCAGCAGCAGGTCCCTTCCCCATGATGCCCTGGAGTCACGGGGTGAAGTCTCATGGGAGCTGGGCCCACCTGCACCCCCTAAACCTGGCTGAGCAGCCAAGGCTCACCATTCCCCCTCCATCACTAACAACTTTTGCCACTTCATGGGCATTTCTGCATCACAAATACGGTGTTTGGTCTCTTTTCCTGCCTGTTTCCATGGCACTGCTGTTATTATCTGGCTATCTTAGGAGTTTACTACAATGCAGATGAGCGCAATAAAAATCACTCAAGGAGAACTGCTAAATGAGAGACAACTCTTATCTTTAGCACCGGCAGGTCGGGAGGGAAGCGGGGCTGGAGAGGAGGGGGAGCGGCGCACAGGAAGCTTTGTTCAACCAAATTCAACCTCCGAGCGGGCGAGTCCCAGTTGGGTACGAGAGTGGCAGTGTTAAATAACACGCTGCACCTCTCTCTGCTTTCTCTCTCTTTCTTATTTTGTTCTTCTCGAGCCTGCTGCCCAACTGCTCCCAGCTGGCGGCGGCTCGGAGTGACACCGGGAATGCAAATGCTCCCTCCCCAGCATCCCCGGGCAGCTCCAAGGATGCTGATGGAAAAGCATCTCTCTTGTAAGGCACTAGGCAATGTCACTTTCTTCAATCCCCGGGCTGCTGCTCCGCTCCCGGCACCGCCGGGGCAGGAGGGAGCTCAGCAGAGCCCGGCAGGGAAAGCGGCAGCAGGATCAGTCCCTGTGTGTGGACAGTTCCTTGGCTCGGTGTGTTCTGCCTGCTGGCCTCGCTGGTGACACCAGAGTGTGATGCTTGTTGCTGAGGTAACGGGATCAGTGTGATTGCTCCCGCAAAGGTAGCGGGGACTTCTCGGATGGCAGCGTCAACAAACCGGCTCTTTTGGGAAGAGGCTGGGCAGCGTCTCGTGCTGTTTGACACTGGTGCTGTGCACTCGTGACAGGGCTCTGGCTCTTTGACTTGACAGGCAGAGCGGCCGGGAGGAGCAGGCGCTCTCACCGGGGGGTGATCCACAGTCAACATTTCAGGGCAGGATCTGGGATTTCAGAGAACGGAGGCTCTGTTTCTGTTCCTCTCAAAGTCAGTGTGGTTACTCCGTGTGCTCTGTGGGCTCAGGAGGGGCCTGCTGGGAGCCCTGGGCTCGCTGCTCCTGCCGGTGGCCTGGGCAGGGGGACGGGCAGGGGGTTCCTGGGAGCCATCCAGGCCACGGTTCCCTGCAGGAAAGGAAGGTGAGGAGCTCTGGGGGCAGGTCCTGTGTGCTGCTTCTTTTGCCACAGAACTGAGGCTACCCCAGTGTTCACCCATGGCCACAGGGCCAGCCCAACCTTACAGCACCCACAAACTGTGAGCTTTTGTTTGCCCAGTGCCCCCACCCCACTGAGGTCAGGCAGGTCACGGCTGCAGCTCCCACCAGGCCAGGCTTTGCTGGCTCCAGCAGCAGGGCCAGGAGCCCTGGAGCATCCCTGGTCCCAAGGGAGCCGTGGGGCCTGTGCCAGCCTCCCTGTAGCACCTCTGCCTATTCACAGCCTGCTCTGGGGGAGCCAGAGGAGAGGGAAGGAGGGTAGGTACATCTGGGTGTGAGGAGGGAGTGAGAAGGGCTTGGAGTGCTGAGGGGGTAGGATGCTGAGCAGAGCTGGGATGCTGAGAGGAGCTTCAGGTGCTACAGGGAGCTTGGGGACAAGGAGCAGTGAGATGGGACAAGAGACAGGGCACAGGCTGATGGGGGGCCTGCAGTGGGAGCACTGCCCAGCCTGGGGAGGCACCGGGACTCCCGGAGTGCGAAGAAGCCGAGAAGGACGGAGGAAACCAC